CAGATTGATAGGAGCTGCATTATCATAAATCTAACGGTCACCTTAGGTCAACCAATGTAACTTCCGGATCAGGTCAAACTATATGTCTCGGATGGAAAGCACGAACCTCATAATTATGGTCTTCTGCAGCAAAAGAGAGGTTTTGGGGTGAGATCGGCGCAAAGCTTAATGCTGAAATGAATTCACGAGACAGGTAGCAAGTGCTTAATGGTCAACAGAGCACATGAAGTGCCTGACTCCAGTATGATACGTGCATCCGCCTATTCCTAGAGGCCCGATTGCGTGGCCACTATCCTCTTACTCCGATTTCCTGACCCAAGTTACTATTTTCACGCATATAATGTCATGACACAGCATGCGGTTGGCGCATTGTAAGCCTGCCCAAAGGAAGCCTGTAAAAAGCCTGTAAGCCCGCAACTGAATGATGTCAGTATCTGATTGCACATCAGACATTTTGAGGCTGCATGAATTGCAACACTCGTGACATTTGTGTCATTGCAATTTTTGAGGATATTTGCGACACAGATCGGGACGATAACAGACATTACATTTGTTCAGCAGCACGCGGAATCAAAAATCGCTTTTGCGAAGAGACCACGTTCACCGTTTTTTTTTCTCGCCTTGCCAGAAACCCTGCTGCGAGGAGAAGGGGGTAGGTAGCCACTCCCTTGGCCGGCGAAGTTTCGGTTCGGGGCAAGTTTGAACCTTCCTACTCTCGTGGCCTTATGACCTTCGCCAGTGTTTCGGGCGGAGTCAGTCGGTACAACCCGTGCTCGACGATGGTGCCACATCCAACGCGCGGGAGCAAATAATCGCGGCACGGGTTGGCTGCCGGGGCTACGGCGGAGGTCGCTGGCCATCGCTGTCTTCTTCCCCGATGTGCGGCCGGGAATACCGCCGGCTGGATCAGGCCAGCGCGCTGCCAGCCCTGGGATAGGTTTGATCTGATACGGCGGCATTTCACTTTCACATAACCCCGGCCGGCGGTGCGACGGGGCCGGGCGCGGGCGGCCGAGGGTCGCGTGACCTGCGGCCAACACCCGGCTCGAGCCGCGCGCCACGGACCGCCGCCCGCGACGCTTCCGCCCTGCCCGCCCTGGCCGCCGGCGACGCCCGGCTCCGCTTCATTACGGCTCTGGAATCCGGATGAAGTCTTTTCACGGCAGGGGGGCGCACAGTTGGGGGCCGGCATCCTTTGGACTATTAGATGGGACACGAGAGGCGGGTGCTGCCTGCGGGCGGGCGCAGGGCCCGCCTGCTCACTTCAGCGGACAGTGGGCGCCAGGGCTTTGGGTCCGCGGGGGCGGCCGGCCGACCCCGCCGGCGGCAGCGGCGCGCTGAAGGCTGCGCCGCGGCCGCCGCACCCGCCTCCAAACGGACGGCGGTGGCGGCGGCGGCGGCGCAGGGCCACGACACGACCTGCCGCCGCCGGCATTGGCCCCCATTCTAAGGCCGCGCACTGAATGACGCTGGGAAAAGGTACAAAATTGGCGGCGCCGCTGCGCGCGCCGCGGCGCTCCCAGGCTGGGACGGCGCATTGTGCGGCGCGCGGCCCTGCCACAATGGCGCATGAAAAGACGAAAGTAACAAAGCCGGCGGCGGGCCGCGCTGACCCGGGCCGGCCTGTCGCCGGCCGGCCGCACGCACAGGGGGCGCCCGGGCGCCGGCGCTGCCGACAGAACAAACGGCGTGAATGGCTGGCCACAAGAAGGGAGGAGAATGGGTGGAGCTGAAACGAACACGTGTATTGTGTGGGTGGCAAATTACGAGCAAAACGTAACCGCGGTGCTTTCAGGACCCATTGGACGCGCCCACTTGTGCTCCTTGTGTAGTGCGTGGGAATCGTTTTCAACTTCCCCCTAAAATGCCAATGTTTTCGAAATCTCTACTTCAGCTTTCTTCAAGATATGAGTTCTGGAACGAAAAAAAGCAATCGATTCCCTGCTTCATGCCACCTAACTATTTCAAGATTTTACGCCCAAAATTCGCCTTCACTTTCCGGCGGTAGGCCGGAAATTAGATGAAGCATATGGGAGTTTAAATTAAAACATATTTGCAGCTAATCTGACGTGTTTGCTGGCAGCCATTTTTACGGGGGTGCATAAAAAGGACAGACAGAGCTCGCAAACCAAACCCGTCCGAAAACTTCACATGCAACCCCTAGACCTTAAGGGGATCACACATATCAAGGTTCTCCGATAAGAGAGGGTTCTTAGGACATCGAGACCCCAAAACATCAAGCGCCCCGGAAGATATAGGGCCCCAAGAACATAACAGTTCAGAAGATTCCATGGGAATCAACACATCAGAGCGTCTACATTCGATGTTCCCAATGGGGGGAGGGGATACCCCGGACGGGAGAATGCGAAAGTATGTGGGAGAGCATTGCAATGTAGCCAAATCATGTCCGACGCCGGACAATAGCCGTCCAAGTAAACCCCAATGGTTGGCGCTGTCTGAAAGGTAATCTGGTAATATGCACTGTCACGCACCACGTGCAATGAGTCAAAAATATCTGTCATAGTAGCCAAAACGAGAGCAGCGTGTCCATTCACATGGAGAGCCCAGGCAGAAGAGATGCCGAGAAGTCGGTTTGTTGATTTGATTTGTGCTGCCTGAATACCATTGCCGTATAAAATGCTTCGCGGGGCCTGTCCATTGCTTGTACTGTTCACAATAAGAGGTATACATAAATGCGCATGACTTTCTCAACTGGGAATTGGTTGGTTCAGGGAAATCATACTTCCATCCATCCCCAGGGAAGAATGAACCCATACATGTAAGAAGACACTGGTCTAAATAATGTAGAGTCCCATGCTATCGTGGCCCTGAGAAAAGCTGGGCCCAAGAAAATCGGAAATCCAAAAAAGATCCTTAGAAAACATCCTGCATCATCGACATCACAAAAGCGAAGGTTATCATGGCATATTAGCATTGTGCTGTCCCCAAACACCAATACCATGGGCTCAGAAAACACCAAGGGAATCTCCGTCCTCCCGATTATCTTCACTTCAAGGATTATCAGAGCGATTAAACACATCTGAGACCCAAAAGCACATCGGTGAAATAAAAAATATTTACAGCCGAGATAAATCAAATAGCCCAAAAGCGTCAGAAATCTGACGATCTCACGGCTTTACGGGAGGGGCAATGTGATCAGCAGACCAATATAGGGCTACTTGTTTACAAGACGGGCGCATCCAGGTGGATTTATCCCGACAGCCTGTCGGTAACAAAGCCGATGTACCATTTTTGTAGCATTACCTGCACCACACAAAAAGGCCGTGAGAGGCGTTGGGCGAGTCATTCGCCTGTAAATCATGTTGGCGTCTCAGCGCTGACCAACTCCCACCGTGCCATAAGCCAGCAGTAATGCGAGAGATGGCGCATTTGCTAAAACTGCTGCCGTGGGCAAGGCTCTCGTCAAAGGCGTTCGAAGATCATAAAAAGTGTGCGAGCCAGAAATTTCTTTATTTTAGATCTTTCCAAGCATTGCAACAGGGCTTTCAGACAAAATCAGCGCGCCAAACCCGCCTGGTTCTCCCTTCGCGATTTTCGGGAACATCGACCGGGAACATCGACCATAGCAGATATTTAGTTCCGTGAGCCGTTTCAAGTCCGACATATAGCCCTTTCTTGGCCGTCCTTCGGTGCGTTGTGTTAATGGATGAAATGCTTGACAAAGTCCTTTTCAATATATTGAGCAGTTCAAAGCACAGGAAGGGAATGGCTCCTGAAAATTTTCCCTCTGGAAAGTGTACAGACTTGCTGAAATAACGTGCGTTTCCAAGGCCAGGTGAAACCATTGTTTCAAGAACTTACACGAGAGAATGTAGCGGGCATGTACGGGAAATATAAATCGTAGTTTCAAGGAAAACTTAAATCGTTCAAAACAAACGAAAATTTATCGCGTTTACCTAACAGTAACAAAACCATAATATTGACTAAAATTAATCGCGTTTACGTAACAGTAACAAACTATCAAACGTCAATGTTTCTGAATGATGTCTGAGAAATTTGAGACGTTACGAACAAAACTTTCCAAATTTGTCTGCCCACGTGTTGATCTAAAAGACTGGTCACAGAACACAGCGATCTCCCCCCCCCCCCCCCCCCCGGTCAAACCTTCTTCAGAACTTGTGCGTTGCATTGGTAATTACGATAAGCCGAATGGTATCTACGCTTACAGTAACTGCTGCGTCAGAGTGTTTGGATTCCTGGCGCTCCCTCTCGTAGTTATTTTCATGTGTCCCAATTCCTGAATAAACCACTAGCATAGATTTTAAAAAAGCTGCGTGACGTCACGTCCGTTCCATTCTAAGATCCCAAAGGGTCTGAGTCCCTCCCCCCCCCCACACCTGTGCAAATCCAGGTCCGTGGGAACAGCGCTGCACCGGGACTGTCCACGAGTTGATGGTTCGACGTAAGTTGCATCATGGTCCATATTGGCGCCGATGCTCTGTCTCTGATCTCTCTCAAGTGAATGGCGTCTCGTTGGCGACTTTTTGATATCACGCTCGGATAAATTATAATAGGCATGCATGGCGGGCGTGCTGCTAAGAGTGCGCACTGAACGAGCAAATTACTAGGAGACAGAATTATACACACTTCTGACGAAATACGCCCTCTGCTGCCCTCTTGCTGCGGTATCCGAACTTTTTCCGAAGCAAGGTAGTAGTTCCATGCGAACTGGAGTATAACGTACCAGCAGTCGGCGAAACTCGTATAAAATGAGCATTAAGCCTGATATATTATCAAAGCTGATAGCGGTTGAGGCATTTTCTTAAGATTACGTCATTCTGACGCATGCCAGTTGTAATATAGGCTTGAAATGGTGCCCCCCACCCCCACCCCCACCCACGCGCACGCATCCAAATAAGTAATTGCCTTGTTCTGATTAGGGCAGCGTGGAAACAAGAACGACCATCATCATCCTGAGCAATATCATCGCAATAAAAATCAGCATAGTGACAAGCATTATATCACCTGGCTGCACTTACCTTTATTAAAACCCATGGCTGGAAGTATCTTTATTCATTAGATCCAAAGTTGTAAAAGTGCAGCTGGCCGTCTCCTATGTCCCAGGAGGCCAGATCCTCGAATACGCGTCTTAGTGGCGAACCAACATCACTTGCACTGATGACGTCACTGGTTGGCGTGGCTGGGTCAGTCGGCAGGCACAGCGACCAGCATCCTGCTCCGACAGCTTGGGGAGAGCAACTGCATCTCTCCTCGGAGGTCCCGGTGCCTGCTGGCCGCCGGTTGCCGAGACACCTAGCGGACGAGATCGGAACCAGCTCATCCGCCGCGGACCTTCAACGCTCACTGCCAGTCCGGATTATAACACCATCCGACCGGTCCGGCGTGCCATGCACTCAAAACATGCGTGGCGTTCATGCGGCCAGGCGACCGTGACCTTCATGCGGCCAGGTCACCAGGGTCATAAATGTTAGGCCCAACCAACCGCGCGTGCAGGATTTCAAAGTGAACGTCGAGACAGCGAGCGAGCATAAGAGAGCAGAGCGAGGCCGAAAGATGAAGCGGTGTAGAAGTACTGACGAGTTGCCAAGGCGACTGTCGGCTTCGGATTCGTGGCATGCAGGAGCCCCTAACTTATCGGGGCTTCCGATAATTTAAAGACTTTTCCAGTAGATCCTAGATTACAGAGAGCCCCTTGGCGGCCAATGAGCCTGCAACAAGATCGAGGAGTTCCAAACGAGATCAAAGCTGAACGTGGTTCGAGTCCCCACGGACGGATGCAACGTTTCAGACGTAAAGAGGGCAAGAGGTGCGTGGGAGAGTTAAGCCACTCCACAAGACCAGAAGCTCTTGAGAAGGTGTAAGTGTCTGTTAAAGCCTACTAGTGGGGTCGTTCAGGATTGAGATGCTTTGTTTTGCCACATTTCTCTTGCAATTCGATTCGGTAACTTTGAAAGTCATATCAGATATTCAATTACACCACAATACTCACACAAGCTGCCTGCAAAAATTGCTCATTAGCAAACTGTGTTGTTACTCTAATAAGTCACGGCAGACGTAGATTTACTTGAACTAATGAGCCATCCCGTGTGGTCATACTTTCCATTGAAGCACTAGTGCAACAACATGCAACAAATGCCACGCTCGTGAATCATTCTCCGCTGACATTGCAGTTCTAGCTGTCCAAATGAGTCTTGGTCACATACATGGGAGGTCCGACGCAGCATTCGGTGCGAGGTCCAGCCACTTTAGTTATTTACAGTTGCCAGAAGTCTTAACCTGACAACGACCTCAGCTACCCACTTGTAAGTTGGCCCGGCGGTGGTATTACCTGCCCTTGGTGTTTGTCCTTTCCTCAAACCTATAGCTTAACGGACCGATTGCCCCATTCGGGTTTTTCGCTGTTTTCGCGAAATGGTTTGTAACAGATCGCTGAAATTCTCTGAATTTTCCTAAACATCTTTTGTACGCATTGTGTCATAATGCAGGATGCGTGCCACGCACAGAGGCGGGTCTATGGCTCGGGTTTGGAGAGAGCTCCAGTGAACTTTGGTGAGGTGCTAGGATGGCGACTGGCACGAAATTAGGCGTGCTGCCTTCCTTTTGCAGGAATTGCTGCTGTTTCTGGTACATAAAACAGCTGTGCCATGCGATGTTCGTTGCATCGTGCCAAAAAAGCGTGACAGACACGATTCCAGGACTGGAAAACGGCAGAACTGTGTAAGGATACCTATCGGTATTTAAATGCAAAGCCTTACATTTTGTATCAATATTAACAAGATCAACGTATATATGTACAGTGGCAATGGCGTGCTCAGGTGGACCAAACGGAGAGCAAAGGGGCATAGTGCTCAACCTAGGCCAGCACTACGGTGCTATAAATGGATAAAGGGGTAAAATGTACGCACGTGTGGAGCAGGAGGAAGAAAGGCAACAATATTCGGACCGATGTGCCCCCAGGGGTAAAAGTAGCATGGAGGGGTCGTCATTTGAAACGCTAGCAACAAAACGCCATGTCACATTCCATCTTACGCCTCGGTGCAGTATCATTTAAAAATGCGACTGCATGTCTGAAGCGAGTTCAGGAACGAAAAATGTGTGGGGATGAGTTATTTCAGTGCAAGAGAGCGCGACCGCCGACAACTGCCAGTCAGGGAACGGTGGCCGCTTGCATAGACTAGGCTCATATCATGTGTTTGTACTCCCTCTCTTTCTGAAAACTGGACACGCGCACCGGGCGCGTTTACACACGCTACATAAGCACAGCAATTCATTTAAAGCGGATATTAGCATTGCGGCCTACAGTCGGTGTTTTCTGCTGAGTTGGCCTCCGCTTTTTTCCCGATCACCGTCTTGTAGCGTTTGACTTGTTACTTACAACTTATATACCATATGAGTGATACCTTTCATACCTTATTCGGCTCTTTGGCTTCGGATTATACCTTCTTTATGAGGTCAAAGCTATGCACCATCCCATTTGTCCCCAAGAACTCGATCACAAGTCGCTTGAAGACTTTTTGTTATCTCCCTTGTTCGTCCCCAGAATATGGCCATACATTAGAATCTCAAAATACCGTCGTGATAATAAAGTTGTGATGCATTAGCTATCGATCTGCGTTAGTTGCATCGAAATCGGTTGATAACGTGCCATTGTCACATAACTTTTTGGCACTCTGTTGATACCTATGAAGCACATTTTGGTCCCACCTTGTTTTAAACATACGGATCATATTGGAATGAATCGAACGCCGTTTGGTTTTTGATAATCAGCCGAGTGGCTGCTTAGATGTCAAGAGTGGCCAAATGATCCCCTCCCCATTAACATCGCGCACATTGCACACGCCTTAAATGGCAGAGTAGCCGTGAAATTAACTAACCAGATTTGCACATTCATGGAGCAACTGATACCTCTGGACCATACAGTCCAGACATGCATTGTTTGATGACCTTAACACGCGCTCGGGTGCCCGGTTAAATGGAACGTGCTCGGGTAGGGTCAACTTGACCGCGTGGATCTAAAAAAACTATGAGAGCTAGATATATCAACTTCGTAGAGTAAGTAGGCCTGTAATTGGACTTACTTGTTGCAGATTCTAAGGACCATAGGTCATGACCTTTGGGTCAAATAAGGTTAAACAATGTGAGACTCTAGATCGGTGTCCGAAGTACGCTCAGGCCTCTCCATGCAACCACACTTAACCCAAATACCTATTCTAATCAAAAGTTCACTGGTATTTCACGTCGGTTACCTTATTTGGCCTCCAAAAGGACACGGTGACCAAAAACCCACGAGATTCCTTTCATTTTCGAAGATAGATATGTGTCATGGGTGATAGTTCGAGTGTATGCCATTGGGGTTTTACGACGCACTCAGCTGCTGAGGCAATATGGTGTTGCCTGCCTTTCACCCTGGCAGGAAGGGCGGGAACGGTATGATCCTAAAAGCAAAAGGATGATCGGGGTAATGTCATGTCAATGTCTTCCGATGACCTTACTTAACTCCAAATAAGGTATATCTTAACATCCCTGTGATCACGAAACTCATTCGAAATGAGCGTGGGAACTACTTCATTAAGCAAGTTCTACAGTGAAAAAACGGTTTGATTTTGACCTTGCTCTGGCTTTTATACCTGACCCAAGGTCAATGAAAATAGTTGCAATCCTAAATTCAGTTGTCGGATAGCTAGGAAACCGTCTCAAAAATGTACGCCTTAGTCCAACACTTTGCTGTCGAGTCAGATTAAACAATTCCTTTAGATTCGGCTTCGCTGAAAGCCGTGTTCTGGCTTTTTTACCTGCCATAGGTTAGTGACCTAACAAGGCACATCTAATCGTCCACACTAACAGCTTAACAAAGTTAGCCGCCCTCTTCGGAGGCTATTTGGAGGACCTTCAGGGAGGGGGAAACTGGCCCCGGCGTTAGTGCGTGTAAAAGTAACGATGCCATGATAGGTCAAGTTAAAACAAAATTTCTTGACATATTTGAGATCATTGATTGTTGCAAGTAACAGCCTATTTCGAGAGTCCAAAGTTATCTATGCACCGTTGTGATGGCTGTTATTTATTGAGTAATGACCTTGAGCACTGAAGTCCTATACTGGAAAATGTCAGGCAGCTCCATGACCAGTTATGTCGTATGACATATGTCTGGCGATTAAGATTAAACCAGGGTGTCATTTATAAACACCGCTTTCCCAAAGCATTGCTGTATCGTGCAATAGGAGAGATATCAGCTCAGTTTTATAAGACAAACGAGGCCCGCCTAAACACTCAAGTGAGACTCAAAGGATACTTGCGATTATGAGGGGTAAAATGACGTGAACTGATGTCCTTGTAATGACCCATGACAGCTAGTCACACATGACTGTGCATTATTAAAGCAGGTCCCCTGATTCGCTCTTTTAAAATGTGCTTGTTTTTAAACTGGCGTGAGGCAAAAAATTCAGGTCGTGCCGTTATTCACAATCTGTATACAAGCTCGCGTGTTGAGTAGCCAACGATGACGCTAAGGGTTCGGACCGATTATTTGTGCCTGTAACTAAAGCTGGACAACCTATCAGCATTACTTTCACGTTGTTTTTTCAGTTTCAATTTTCACACTCAAGACGACAGTATCAATGGTTCGAAGCCAAATATTGGCATATGAGGACCAACGATCAATTCAAGGTGACCTAGATTTGCCTCTCATGGACTCATGCATGTGTTTGAAATTAACTGTCAGGAACGATGCGTCCATTGTGAGGCGACACCAAAATGATGACTAACCCCGAATTCGACACCTGACGAAACCGTTTTCAAGTAACTTTGACATGACCTATCTCGTCCAGAGGAGGCAAAATTTATCCATCAAAGCCATTTAAGGATGTAACAGTCATGGTGGCTCACTCAGAGATGGATGATTTCAGAATCATTGCTGCAGCCTTGGATTTAGGGGGAATATTTTCCACCTAACGTGCATGGTGGCCCAATTCACTGTTAAAAACCAGATGCATTTATGAGATTCAGCTCCAACATGCTACAGAAATTCTCGCACATATCTTTTTCGTCCTTTTTTGGGGGGATGGGGAATTCACACTCAATTTCCTCGTAGCGTTCGAAGTAGCATGCACTAACCATTTGAAAGCTGTCTTTGGAACAAAACAGAGCTTCTAATGATCTAGTTTAGAAGGCTGGGCTTCCGGGGCTGCGGGAGAAACATCCGTTGTTTACGTACAGCTGCCCTCAGATTCCGTT